CTTTATAATCAAATACCAAAGAAGCGACATTCGTAGGCTGGAGTGCAAAGCATGACATCAAATAGTTTCTTTTTGAGGGATAATTTTGGAGGTGATGATGAATTTTTTCTTTAGAACAACTATTTTAGATTTACTATAAAACTATGTTGTTTTACTTTAAAATTAAAAATATGTTGTTTTTTAAGAAAATAAAAAATTGTTGTCTTCGCCTATTATAAAAGCACGTTGGGATAATTTTTAATGATAAAATGTAAGAAAATTGTACATTCTTCAATACATATATACAATTTATAGTTTAGGAGTTTGAATTTTTATTTAAGGGTTTAGAGTTTAGTGGTTCAAAATGAGCTTTAATGTATATGTTATTTTTGCAATTGTTGTATACGTTTTATTTCCTTGGATAAGTCAATCGAAAATAGAAATTTAAAATTAAGTTTTGTGAGTTTGATATAATCATAAATTATCTACCACTTAAACATGTTAAAAAAAAGGGTATTGTGTATATAGCCATATAAGGTATTTAGGTGATAAATTGTCGGTTCAAAAGATAACCCACACTTGAGTTTTTAAATTAAACCCACATATATGTTACCCACATTTGAGAATTTTTTCTCATTATTTCTTCAGTAGTTAAAAAAACAATTGAGAACAAAAAAAACTTATTTATTTAAAGATAGCAAACTATTTTTATGGGTTTACATTTTCTTTAATTTTAAATACTTTTTTAACTTCATCACCAACATTATTGTTTTCGTGTTTTGAGCCTATCTTTTTCCAACTACAAAAGACAGATTTGGAAAATTCAATTGGAATTTAGGTTCTTACTGTTGTTTCTAGTATTTTTTAACCCTCGGATGTAACAGGAAATAACCCCTTTCACATAAAATTGGTTGAAATTGCACCCAATTTACCAAATGAAAAAGTCAGTGAATGTAAGCCTCAGTCGTCTCATACCATTCAACGCAACAATACCATAACGTGTAGATAGTATGGGCTTGAGTTAATAACTCCACAACATCATATACATCAGAAATTGAGCTATTAATAGAAATTAACTTCAATTTACCAATAAATAAAATAAACTTGATAGCAACAAATAACCTTTAACTTTTTGTGGTTTTTTATTCATAAACACTTTAAAACATTGACAACTCAATATGTATTTTAACTAAAAGATTTTAAAAAATTATCCCACCCCCTCAACACATCAAAAAATTTCAAAGATGTATTTTAACTAAAAGATAAGAAAATACCTTCACAACATATAATTAATGACCCAAACCCCAGTTTTGGAAGAAAATATATGATGTTAGTGTCAACTATTACCAAAAAATGCCTCATTGCACCAGACATATATGTTGCCTTACTCATGTGATTCTGAAATATCCAAACAACTTCAAGAAACATGCACACACATATGATACAAGATCAAATCTACATCAAAATCAAATATTTATGCAACTAAACAAAAAAGGAAACTTTAAATGGCAAAGGAGAGAAGAATTACCTTCTCTATGGATCACATATCCTGGAAAAAAAATAAAGATGAAAACTAAGAGGGTTAATAAAATGTTAGACCATTTGACAGAACACGTTACCTGTATGTTGGTGAATACGAATATGGAAAGAGATGCAGAAGCGACCTGAAATCAGATGATGACAGAATCAAGAGAATATGAATATAACCTAAAAAAAGAGAGAAGGTTGTGATGGGACATCATTGCTATCGAAAATCAAGAAATAGTAAGGTTTGTATAATAATATAGTAATATATATATATATATAACAAAAACAATCAAAACAAATAGATTATTGACATACAAACTAATCTAAAAAACCAAAACGAATAGTCATAGTCGGTTGGGTTACTACTATTACATCAACCCTTGATATCTTGTTGTTGTGATGGTACTTTTGGCACTTTTAAAATGGTTGGATTATTTCTAATTTATCATAAATAAATAAAATATAGTAGGAAAAGATTGAACATCTCCATCAATATAAAGAATACGACTTCAATTATTTCACCTCAAAAGACCATTCTTTAACTACTAATCTTTAGAAACAAAACCTTGGTGCTCCATACAAATTACAAAGCTTAAGAAAATGAGTGTCTTGGTTTCATGGGCAAGGAAAGAAGTTGCTCGTTTGAGAACTCCAAAGCCCAAGGCTTTGCCTCCCAAATCTCGACCTCCGGTACATCTTTCTCTACCTTCATTTCACACGCTTGCTACTTCTTCAAAATTAGATTGTCAGTCTTGTTTCAAGCTAATCTTAGTAGAAATGTCATTTTCATGTTTACACATTATGTTTTATTTTTCTCAATACCTTGAATGGTGTCGGTTGAATAGGTTGGAGAAATTGAAATTTCAGCCGATGTACGATGTGTGAAATGCAGAATCATGGTAGCAGAAGAAATGTCAAAAATGGAAGGTAGGATGTGAGAATCAATTAGTACGTAATTATATTTAGAAGGAAGAGTATATGAAATCAAAGTTTATGACTGAGACAAAGGCATGTCATTACCTGAAGAGTCGGATGACAATAGCGAAGTGTTTTGAACAATCGATAATGATTTAAGAACTCGATGCTAAGATGTTATAACTTATAACAAACATCGTGAGATAAAATTGTTTGTTTGTTTGTAGGTATGGAGTCAGTGGAGGTTGATGTGATGGGCAAGAAGGTGATACTCATTCAAAGATCGTTCACCGACGACAAATGATCAATTATTTTGCTAATGATGTTTTTCTTTTTCTTTTTCTTTTTTTGTTTTGTTTATTTGAATAATTTCATTTGTGATCTTTAATTGATTAGAGAAGGAACAAAAATACTAACTATTCACGAACAGGCAATAGGCATGCATAATGAAGTAGCTCAATCATGTTACATTTGTCGGGGAAGGACGATTCTGTCATTTCTTTATGCACTTTATGAATGTACTGTATAGGTGATATATGATTATTTTGTTTTGATTCGGTTTTGAAATTTTACATATTTGGTCCCTATGGTTGATAAAAAAAGACCGATGTAGGTCCGTTTGGGGAATTTTGGACATGGGGTCCTTTCACATTTAAAACGAACAAGGAATGTCTTTTGGCTGTTAACTTTTTTGGTTAAATCTCATGTGAAGTTATATATTTGTCCTTACTAACATATGGACCATTTAGTCCCTAACTTTAAAAAAACTTTATAGAATATCTTTGTGGTTTAAAAACTTTTGATATATATAGTCCTTTTTGCTTACTCCGTCAATCTAGGATGTCGAAATTTTTATCAAAAGTAAATTTATGTTCATTTAAATATCTTTTCAACTTGGTTTCCATTGTCACAGATATGTATTCCTGACCCATTAAGAAAACGTCCACAAACTGTTATCCACATCACAACTTACGACCTCTTATACTTTTTGAGACAAACCTACATTTGCATATTTTTCTTCAAAGATTTTAAATAAATTTTCCAATATTTCAACTTCGTGCATTGTAGACATCACCCACACTCTTATTGTTGAATCTGACAATTTGTTTCCGCATGTTATCGTGTTTTCATTCATTTTCTTGATTACATGAGACAAAAAGACGGACTTAAATCGAGAGTCCAACAATACGGCAAAACAAGTGAAATTATTCAAATTTTCTATTAAACCCCAATACTTGTATTTTGAGCGCATATTCGGGATCATGTGATAAAGTTGCACTTGTGTTCAACACGTTGTTAGATGTTGGTCAACTTCTAAAATTTCCCGTAAAACAATTTGTACCAACGGTTTTAATGAAGCCGATAAAATGTTTTTTTTTCTTTCTTGGTTTGAACTTTTCAAAGAAAATTGCGATCTCTTCTATCACATGGACATCGGTATGTTTCGGGACTCTATTTAAATCACGTGTAATACATATTAAATAGAGGCATTGCTAACATTTAAAACACATAAAAACTGCATTATTTATTAAAAAATGCACTTAAAAAATTGCATTTTTTATTAAAAACAACTACTTTTATTATAATAATTAAAAAAAAAAAAAAAAAAAAAAAAAAAAAAAACAAGTATTTATAAACAAAACACTTTTTATAAAAGACAGCTTTTATAAAAACAGAAATATTTATTCAAAAAAAGTGAAGATTCATTCATATATTTTTTAAACTCTGATAATTTTAATGGTTGTATGTCTAATGTATTACATAGCTCTTTGGACACATAAAGCATGGGTGTTTGTGATATTTTAACCCATCTTTTACAATTAAAATCAAATATAAGTCATGCATCTAACGTGGAAATGTTTTCCTTATTCATACAAGTTCGGCATTTTGTTGATTAAGAATTCTAATACCTTGGTATTTGTAGTGCTATTGTCCATGCTCATGATCATCACATTTTTTATCCCTTGTCCGCATATGCATTCCAGTAACAAACGTCTGACATCTTCATCCACGTGAGTATCTATTGGCCTAAAGTTTAAAATCATTTTATGTATGACTAGTTGTCATCTATGAAGTGCCCCGTAATAACCAGGTAATTAACTTTTTGACACGATGAAATCCACATATCAGTTGTCAAGTGTATCTTCAATCCCTTGTTCTCCATTGTCTTAATCAACATCATCATCAATAATATGAGGTATTATCAACAAATATATTGTCATCCTAGACTACAAAAAAGTAAAAATATTTATTTAGGCATTCAACATAAGTCATTAGAAAGTGGTTGAAAAGTTGGATTTGGATAGATTGGAAACTTGTTAGGATGTTCTTATTTTTCCCGTAATCCTTTTTGTATTCTTTTATTTTTTCTGAACAAAGTTTGCTTAGACTACGTCTCTTTCTAAAAAAAACATAAAGTCATTCAAAATCATGATGTAACATTGAAGAATCAACATTAGGCATTCAACATAATAATACTAATCATTCATCAATCAAACTTCATACATGAATAATATTGAAGAATCATGATGTCCTCTGTTTTGTTTTGGCCTGTTTGAGCATGTAGCAGAAGGTTTTAATCACCAATGACTACTAGCCATTTGCTGCTTCTGGATCTTGGAATTATGAGAGGATTTTGCACCCTTGTCTTTATACGCATTTCTTGAACCATTGTTGCTCTTCCTTCCTGCTCTTGCTGCTTGAATAGCACGTCGCCTCTGCTTTGCTAGACGCTCCGCAAGTTCACCATCATCATCATCATCATCATCATCATCATCATCTTTCACCTGGAACCAATAATTAAATACAAAAAATAAATAAATAAAACTGTTTTAAACATCATTTACCTGATCACTTTTAACAGGCTGTTTCCCTTCAGAGAGCTGTTGTTGATCCTCTTCTTCTACATCCCCACTATTTCCACAAGCCTTTACTTGGTCTTCATCCTTAAATAATATAATTAAAAGATAAAAAAAATAAACTCAGGTGATGGGTTTTAATGATAAAAAATATATATGTGTAACAAATAAAGAAGCTTGTACATTGGTCAATGAGCATAAAGAATCAAAGTTTTGGATTTCTCCTTCATCTTCTTCTTCTTCTTCTTCTATTTCTTCATCATCAGACCCAGGAATCTTCTCAAGAGTAAACTACATACAAACATATATATATAGTTAGAAACTTAGAGTTTCAAATCATCATTCATCAAAAGAATAAAAGCCAACATCAACGAATGCATCAAATACCTTTTCAATATCAGCTTGTTCCTTCCTGCTAAAGCCACTAGCAGAAAGTTCCTTATCAAGGAAACCAGAAGCTTTCTTTATTGAAGAAAACCGAGGCTTTATACTATCTGACTCAGCATCTGAATCTGAATCTGATTCACCAGCATCCGCTTCAAAAGATAGGTTGAATCTACATCACAACACCTTTACTTTATTAACAAACAATAATACCAATAGCATATCATACAAGTTATTAGAATTTATTCAGAGCTCTGAATATCAAAATTACAATATACAAACCTCTTGCTGAAAAACTTGATTATACATTCAACATCACGATCAAAGTACCTAAAATCACATATATTAAATCAAATCAAATTTCACTACATAGAATGTTATAGGCTTATAGCTATAACCATCTTGTGAGTTTAAATCATACATTTCTGCATTTCGATGAGATACAGATACCATTTGTGGAAAGTCGATGATGGTGATTTTTTCATCATCATCTATCTGCAACAAAAATATATAATTGAAGTAAGCCAGATAGCAAAGATTTTTAATTTAATGATAAAATTCAAATACAAAGTTAAATAAATACCATTATGTTGAATTCATTGAAGTCACAATGAATAAGGCCATGCTCAGCCAAACGGACAATAATTCCTATGATCTTCTCAAAAATGGTGTTGGTATTTTGCAACTCCTTCACCTGAACACTGAATATATATATAAATATAGGATACCATTACTTTCTTTTCAAATATGTTACAAAATAAGGATTTAATTAATAGGAGATTGCTTACAGTGGATAGCCTTGAACAAGGGACATTATGACACAATGGCGATTGCAATCCACTGCATTTGGAACAGGAAACCCATGTTCTTGTAATGCCTACTCACAAAAAAAAAAAAAAAAGGAATGAATAACTGATAAGAAACAAGATCATTAAGATTTACAATTGGAATGATATGATACCTTCATGAAAGCAAACTCTTTAAGAGCAGCAAGGCGAGAGAGATAAAGCCAACTAAAGCTACTTCTGTGCTTTAAATAGTCACGCTTTGACTTCACAGCTCTGAAAGAGGTTCTACCAAGTCTGTGTAGTTTCATAGCCATAATCTCACCTTCTTCATTTGCAACCTCAAATATATCTTCAAAACAAAACAATCCATGTTACAATAAACAACTCTGTGTGTGTGTTTGTGTGTGTGACTGTGTGTGTGAAAGTAAAAGAATTTTTGGATTACCAGACTCTTTCCCCACACCAATTTGACGCCCTACTGATGAAAATACACCTCGGTTGACCAGGGTCTTAATAGCAAGAAAATCATAACCAAGGTAGGTAAGCCTGAACCCATCATCTACACCAAAAAAGACAAATATGCCCATTAGGTATAGAAAAGAATCAAAAGATGTTATATGTTAAAAGTCAAAACAGATGTATTATTACTCACACTTTGAAGAGTCATGATGCAACAATTTGTGCTTGAGCAAATTCTTCAACACCTTATAAGTCCCTCCATGTCTATGCACACCCAAGAAAACTAGTATTTGTTATTATTTTGGCATGTAATGTAATAAAAAATAGTTAAGCATTAGGAACTACAGATATGTATTGTTACAGATACTGAAAAAATGGAAATGGAAAGGATTAGAGGTTCACCTGAGTGAAGCAATGCGATCGATGAGCTCAACAGGTACAATTTCATGCTGAGAAGAGAAAAAGAATAATTTTTTTTTTTATTTGGATGAGAGAAAAGTCAAAAAAAAAAAAAAATCAATTTTAATTAGTATTATTGAATAGTGAATTACATTGCGCATTCCCATCTCTACAGCAGTGAGAACCCTGAAGTCATCTTTAGAGAGATACCGAAGAACATTCACATCAAGCTTCATCACTCCTCTGTTTTAGCACTTTTTTTCTTTACTATGTATATATTGATCACCTGAAAATACAATTTAGGGTTCAAATCCAGTTCAAGATAAATATTAGTATCATATACCTAACTAAAACAAAATGAAAAAATTAAAGATAACATGTAATCTTACATTTACCTTCAAGATTAGTTTTGTAACAATAAATTAATCATTATGATATCTACTTCTCAATTTGATTATCACTGTGGTACCATGTAGAATTAATATCACAAAAAGTTATATAAAAGCACATGACACAAAAGAGGGTTACATAACATTTATCATTTACCAATTAGCCCCTCAACTGGATATAACAGATTAACAGATTATAAATTACCAAACTCAACTCCTTCACAGTAGGGCACTAGCAATGTCATTAACTCATCATAGCAGTGTAGTTCCAGAAGTCAACATAGAAGCAAGTGAATCACACATTCAAGAAGCAAGCACTAAATAACTCAAGAAGCTATGCATTCACAGCAATAACAACTTTAGTAGCAACTGGAAAAGTCAACAAGCAAGCTGTAGAGAAGAAATAGAGAACCAAAAGTCAAGAAGCAGGCAATCAAAAAATCAGTATCCGATAAGCACTTTTAACTTATAGCTTATTAGCTTATAGTGGTGTCCAGATGGAGTTTTCAAAATGCCAGAAGCTGATAAGCATTTTTTAGTTATTGGCAAAGAAACTGTTTATATGTGTTAAATGAACAAAAAGGGCTTCCTTTTACAAATAAGGATCTTAAGAACATCATTCAAAAACACTAGGAGGAAATCAGTAGTATCTACTGCTCGTTCCCAAGTTACCAAAAACATTAAAACTTGTATATTAGAATTGATATGTGAAAACAGGTATATTAATAAAGTACTATCAAACAGATTGCCTGCAAACACATTCCTTTTTTTTTACAGAACACCGTACACATCATACTTCATACATTTGAACAGCAAACACAAGTAGCAAATCAGTAGCAGCAAACAGATAACAAATCAATTGTCACCAAAAGTAAAAAATCACCTATTAGAATTCCAGAGAAGAACTAGAACTTGCCGATTGATATTAAAAAAAACTACAGAAATTTCGTATGTAAACAAGGAAATCACATGAAAAGAAAACAGGTTTAATAAAAAGAAATCGACCACCAACATCAATTGCCAAGTTCAAAGAACGCAGAAAAGAAGGAAGAAAAAGTGGAACCTGGGCTTAGGTGCGATGGAGTTGTGGCTATCGAAGGTCTCCGGCGAGTGGCTTCACAGGGGAGGCGATGACGAGCAGGGGAGAGTTGACGTGAGGAGCAATAGCGAGAGGTTGTAATCGTAAGTACAGTGAGTAAGGTTTTATTAGGGTTTGGGGGCATATCGGTGGATTCTGAAATCAATAGGAATAAATAGTTTTTGATAAGTTGGGTAAATATTTATAAAAAAATGAAGTGTAGTTTGTTTTGGTAGAATAGAACCCATTGGAATTAGAATGAATGGAAATTTAATTTCATAATTTTTTTGTTTGGTTTAAGTTTTTAAAAGGAATTGGATTTCTAAAAGAAATAAATTTTCCTTCCAACGAAAAAAATTCATCCAAAAACTTAAGGAATTAAAATTTCTTTCAAATGAGAATGTTGAATGTTACTGTATTACCAAATTTACTATTAACACTACATATGAAACCCTTATGTAGCCACCACACATCACCACCACTTCCAATTCCTCGGAGATTCCAATTCCTTAATAGATTCTAATTTCTTCAAAAACATTCTGCAAACCAAATGTCACCTGACTTGTATAGAACAACTATAAATCATCTTCGTTTAATAATCCTTATTAAAATATTAATTTTAGTTTATATCAATGTGAAATCGATAATAAATTAAAAAGTTGCTTATATAACACCCTCTTAATTTGACAGTGGGGGTCGATCGACCTGGAGGAGAATGACGCCTTCTCGAGAAAAAAAAAACGAAGAAACGTTGAATCTTGTCTTCAAGTTCATATTTAATCGGGTGTAAAAAAAATATTTTTAGGCTAAGAATAGTTGGTTAATCTAATAGAAATAATTTGTTTTTTCATAATTAAGTAACTAAGACCCAAAAACAAGTTAAGGTCAAATAGTGCTAAAAAACAGGATATCGAATTCAAAATAAAGGTCAATCTCGGTGATATTTGCGGCTCTGCTATTTGGGAACGCTATTCCAAACTACTATTTTGGCTAAGCTCACGCAACGCTATCCCACTAAGATAGTGTTGTTATTAACTACACAGACTGCGAAATGCGAACTCTAGAAGTAACCCCAAGACGAAAAACAAGAACATAACAAACCTGAGATGGTGGGTTGTAGCACCTGGTTCCTGGTACGTAAAAAAATTTATCTAAGTGTCATTTTAGCCTTGGACTCGGCGAGTTGTAGGTCCGACTCGCCGAGTAAGGACGCGGTCCGGGGGCACACTTAAGTTGGCGACTCGGCGAGTCCATATCCTGGACTCGGCGAGTCATCGTTGTTTGATGAAACCCTAATTCCAAAGGTTTGCCCCTTATTTAAGCTAGCTTGTGCGACCCAAGCTCGCCCCCATTCACCCTCAGAGCCCTATATCTCGTCCAAGCTTTGTTTCCTTGTGAGTTTGAAGCATTTGGTGTGTCCTCTTGAAATTTTGGAGTGGGAAGAAGAGTAGATCAAGAAGAAGAAAAGGAGGTCAAGCATCTTTGAGTTATCTCAGTGTGTTCCCTAAGGTATAACTCGTTTTCCCCCTTGTTTTCATGCTTATCGTCCCTTATAGCTCCATTAAAGTCCTTCTTGAACCATTTCCAAGCTTGGGTAGGTTTGAGGGTTCGTAATAAGCTGATTAACCTTTAGATCTAGGCATGGTTGAGCTCCAGGAGCTCAGATCTACTGTCTTTTTGGAACCATATTACATGAAAGCCCTAGATTTACCCTTTTGGTGCATTTTGGACCCTAAAACTCTCATGGTTGCCTATTTACACGTAAAGTTGGAAACTTTACGTATAAATCAAGCCCCAGGATCACGGATCTATCTATGGCATGAGCTGGATTCGAGCAGAATCGACCATATAGTAATTGCATGGTAACGACTCGGCGAGTCGTTCATCGGACTCGGCGAGTTGAGACGCGAGTCCCTGAGTTTTTCCCCCTTTTCGTTATGGCGAGTAGTGTAGTGAGTCCGGGGTGGACTCGGTGAGTTGGAAGCCGAACTCATCCATGAAGGAACTCGGCGAGTCAATGCCCTGACTCGGCGAGTTCAAGACAATCTTCTTAGATCAAGAGCAGACTCGACGAGTTGTTCATACAACTCGGCGAGTCACAACGTAGAGTGTTCTTCGGATGAAGGCGAACTCGGCGAGTTGTTCATACAACTCGGCGAGTAGGGTGCAGGACTATTAAGACTTGGGTATAGAGAAAGGGACTCGGCGAGTCGGCAAGCCAACTCGGCGAGTCTGGTCAACTGGCAGTTGACTATGACTTAACTCATGACTTGTTAAGGGTAAATGGGCAATTTACCCTGAGGGCGATTAGCAGTATTTGACTAAGTGTTTGGTGGGAATTACAGTCGGAGGATTTTCGGAGCAGCAGCAGCAATAGACAAACTATTCCCACACAGATCAGCAGCTACTACGAGGTGAGTTACCTTCCAGTAGCGGTGGGTCTAAGGCCACAATGTCGGCCCACCAGTAGGAGATATATGTTAGATGATTGTCTTTGTGATATCATCTAGGTTTGCTACTACCTGATATGTTATATGCTAGCATGATATGTTATATGTGATAGTAGTAGAGTTCGGTTTTTAGGACTGACGGGTAGTCAGACACCCCAGATACGTCTGACAGTATGTGATTATACGTTTGCATGCTGGCTTGTTATGTTATATGCGATAGAGGTAGTAGGAGGGGACCAATCCCCGAGTTCGGTTGCTAGGACCGAAGGGTAGTTCAGGAACCCCAGATATGTCTAATGATATGTTATGTTATGATATATGTGATAGTAGCAGTAGGGGGTGAAATAGTCCTCGAGGTTCGGTCGACAGGACCGAAGGGTAGTCAGCACCCCATAATGGCTTGACATGGGTAGTCAGCACCCCAGAATGGCTTGACACGGGTAGGTCAGCACCCCAGAATGGTCGTACCGGGTAGGTCGGGTACCCCAGAAATGCCTGGCAATATGTATGATATGTGATTGTATGGTATATGGTATGATGGGGGAACTCACTAAGCTTCGTGCTTACAGTTTTTAGTTTTGGTTTCAGGTACCTCTTCTTTGAAGGGGAAAGAGCTGGTGCGGTAGCGGTCCATCATACACATGTTTCGTATTCCGCATCATGAGATCTTCCTGGGGATCTGTACTCTGACATTATTATGTTTTATGAAATGTTTTCCAGACATGTGATATCTTTATAAAATGTTATGATCAGTAAACGTTTTAATTCGAATGTTTTGCTAAGTGTATGTTTTCAAAAATGAAATTTTTGGCTCGTATTTTTGGGGCGTTACATGGGTTGACGTCGGTGATGATGGGTATCGATGACTCGTTGTTTCCTGTCAGGGTAGGTATTTGTGGGTGTCACACGTCGCTTGAGAAGTGAGACGTTGAGCTTTTTGAATTTTTGCATAGTATAAACGAAGTTAGGGTTAATCGAAAGAGTTTTTTTTTCCTAAGATCTAATTTTTAGGGTTAATTGAAACATAACCAATAGGTTTCAGAGTTCTTCAAAATCCAAGAACACAATGATAAAAGGACCAAAATGACCTCCAAGCCAACCATATCCTAGATCTAACAATACAAAATCATAAAGGTGGTAGCTTTATACTCACAAAAGGTCCATAAGAAGATTAGCTTGCTGAAATACCAAAGAATCACACTCCAAAACACTTCTTATATCTTATTCTCCCTTGATCTTCACAAAATGAACACCATAACCAAAACTATTAAATGAGGGCTAGGATTTGACGAGAGAATGTTCTCTGGAGGTGGAGGCTG